TTGTTTAAGGCTTCGCTAAATTGTCGAAGCTGGCTTTGAACTCTTATCCTTCTGCCTCAGCCTCTCAAGCAGCTGGGGTTATAGGTGTGTGCCACTGCACCCAGCTATTTCCCCAATTCTTGAATGCACAGATAATCTACATTGGTTTTCTGATCTGAGGAGTGAAGGGTGTTGATGGTAGAAAAGGCCAACTGCTTGCAGTTGCCTTTTTTTTTTGGTACTGAGAATTTAACCCAGAGGTACTTTACCAATTGTGCCACATCTCCAGTCCTTTTTAATTTTTTTTTTTTTTTTAATTTTGAGACAGGGTCTCACTGATGCTTAGGGCCTCACTCAATTTCTGAGGCTTGTCTCTAATTTGCAATCCTCCTGCCTCAGCCTCCCAAATCCTTGGGATTATAGTTGTGCACCACCACACCCAGCTGGAGCTGCCTCTTTAGATTCTGAATCAACATATGTCACATTTGCTCCTTTAACACAATTATTAAGTAATCTTCAAGACTGCAAGCTTTCAGTGGTGCCCAAAGCAAGATATCTTGGTTGCTCCCAAGTTTGGATAATTATAAATAAAGCTGCTATAAACACCCAGGTGCAGGGTTTTGGGTAGACATATGTTTTCAGTTTCAGGAGCATGATTATCAGCTCATATAGTAATAGTATGTTTAACTGTGTAAGGAAACACCAAACTGTCTTCCAAAGTGGATGTGTTGCCTTCAGCAAGAGAGCTCCTATTGCTCTGTATCTTTGCCAACATCCAACATTCAGTGATATTAGTGTTCTGGAATTTAACCATTCTAATACATGTGGAGTGGTTAGGTGATTGTTGGTTTAAATTGCAATTCCCTGAGGACATACCATGCATATAATCCCCTCCAGTTCTAGTTCAAGTTTTTATTATGAAAGAAGGTACTATATTGGAGGGAGAGCAGACACCTTCTCTAGATACTAACCTTGTTGGTGCCTTGATCTTGGATTTCTGGGCCTCTAGAACTGTATGAAATACATTTTATGAAATACATTACCCAGTCTCAAAAAAAAAAAAAAAAAAAAAGGTTTGCCCAGTCTCAGGTATTTGTTATAGCAGTGTAGACAGACTAAGCATCCATTGATAAGAATCCCATGAGGGGCTGGGGATGTGGCTCAAGTGGTAGCATGCTCGCCTGGCATGCACAGGGCACTGGGTTCGATCCTCAGCACCACATACAAATAAAATAAAGATGTTGTGTCCAAAAAATATTGAAAATTCTCTCTCTCTCCCTCTTAAAAAAAAAGAATCCCATGATTTTTCTTTTTTAGTCTATTTTTGTGATGGATTGAATAATTGATTTTCCAGTGTGGAAGCAGCTTTGCACACCTGGAATAAATCCTGCTTGATCATGGTCAATAATTCTTTTCATACATTGTTGTATTCAATTTGCTCTTTCCCTCCCCCCCTCCTTTTCAGTATTGAGAATCAAATCCAGGGCTTTCAGTAGGCTAGAAAGCACTCTACCATTAAGCTAAATTCTCGATCCACAATTTGCTAATATTCGGTTGAGGATTTTAATATCTGTATTCATGAGAGATACTGATGTATACTTTTCTTGCAGTGTTTTTTATTGGGGGGGTTGATATTAAAATAACTAGCCTCATAGAATAAGTTAGGAAGTGTAGCCTCTGCTGCCATTTTCTGAAAAAGATTTAGAGAGTTAGTATAATTTATCTCTTAAATATTTGGTAGAATTCACCAGTGAAACTCTCTGGGCCTTGTGCTTTCTGTTTTGGAAGGTTGTTAATTATGGATTTAACTTATTTGACATAGTTCTACTAGACTCTCTTTATACGTGAATTTTCACAGATTGTGTCTTTCAAGGAATTGGTCCATTTCCTCTAGGTTATAATAATTATGGGCATAGAGTTGTTTATACTATTTCTTGGTTATCCTTTTACTATTCATGGGATCTATAGTGATATCCTCTCTTTCATGTGTGGTATTTGTAATTTCTACCCTTTTATTTTTTTCTTACTTAGTTAAAGGCTTATCAATTTTATTGATCTTTTCAAAGAATAGGCTTTTGGTTTTGCTGATTTTCTCCATTGATTTTCTGTTTCAATTTCATTCGCCTCTGATTCTCATTTCTTTTCTTTTGCTTTTTTTTGGGGAGGGGGTGGTTCTGGTAGCCAGGGATTGATTTCAGAGATACTCAACCACTGAGCCACATCCCCAGCCCTATTTAGTATTTTTAAATAAAATAAATAAATAAAGATATTGGGGTCCATCTGATTGCACTCAGGGTCACTCAACCACTAAACCACATCCCCAGTCCTATTTTGTATTGTATTTAGAGACAGGGTCTCACTGAGTTGCTTAGCTCCTCACTATTGTTGAGGCTGGCTTTGAATTTGCAGTCCTCCTGCCTCAGCCTCCCGAGCCCCTGGGATTGTAGGCATGCACCACCGCCTGGCTTGCATTGGAGTTTGAACTTAGGTTCAAACCTCTACCACTGAGAAACATCCTCAGCCCTCTTTATTTATTTACTTTTTGGTAGTGAAGATTTAACCAGGGGTACTTAACCATTGAGCCAGAACCCCAGCTCTTTTGATTTTTTTTTTTTAGTTTGAGGCAGGAGCTGGCTAAGTTACTGAAGCTGGCTTTGAACTTGGGGTCCTCCTGCTTCAGCCTCCCAAGTGGCTGGGATTACATCACATCTGGGTATTTTTTATTTCTATATAGGGTCTTGATAAGTTACCAGATTGGCCTGGAATTTGTGATCCTCCTGCCTCAGCTTCAGGAGAAGTTGATATTATTGGTGTGAACCACCTTCCGGCTTGCTCCTCTTCTTCTAGTTTTCTAAGGTTGAATCTTAGATAAATGATTTTAGATCATTCTTCCTTTCCAATATATACATTCAATGCTCCAAGTATCCCTCTATGTACTACTTTTGCTATATCCCACAGATTTTGATAAGTAATATTTTCATTTAGCTTGAAGTATTTTTACATTTGTCTTGAGATTTTTTTCTTTGACCCATGTGTTATTTAGAAGTCTGTTCCTTAATTCTCCAAATATTTGGGTGTTTTCCAGCTATCTTTCTGGTATTGGTTTTTAGTTTAATTCCATATGGTCTGAAAGCAGACACTGTAGGATACCTATTTTTTTTTTTTTTTACATTTGTTAAGGTGTAGTTTACATCCTAGAATGTGTTCCATCTTGGAGATTTTCCATATTAGCTGGAAAAGTATATGTAATCTGCTATTGTTGGGTGAAATCATCTATAGATTTTCATTATATTCAACATATTCTCACCAAAGTTTTGCCTTTTTGGATCTATTTCAGTTTTTCCTTTTTTTTTTTCCCCTCCAGTGCTGGGGATCAAACCCAGAGCCTCACACCTACTAGGAAAGCACTTTTCCACTAAACTACATCCCCAGGCCTTTTTATGTTTCGAGGCAAGATCTCATGAAATTGCTGCAGCTGGCCTTCAACTTGAAGTATTTTTACATTTGTCTTGAGATCCCCCTACCTCAAACTTCTGAGAAGGTGGGAGTACAGACTTTGAACTCACTTCTCTGCTGGATCCATTTGTTGATTTTTTGTTGTTGTTTGTTTGTTCAGGATGGAGTGGGGATGATTTCTGAAGCTTCTATAACCACCCCCTTCCCCACAAGGACAGGATTTAGAGAGCTTCTGGGTTGCTGAGCATGTGGAGGTGAGGGATGGTGGTGAGCCCGGGGAGGATTCAGAGCTCTGCGTCCCTCCGCACATACCTTGCCCTATGCACATCTCTTCCATCTGTCTGTTTCTGAGTTGTGCCCTTTTATAATAAGCCAGTAACCTTGTAAATACAAACGGTTTTCTTGAGATTTGTGAGTCATTCTACAAACAGTCAAACTCCATGTGGGTTTAGGAACTTTGGCTTTACAGCTGGTGGCCAGAAACACAGGGGAAACCTGGACTTGCAATTAGCATCTGAAGTGGGGCAGTCTGTGGGACTGATTACTTATGGGAGATAGAGTCAGAACTGAGTTAAGTTTTTGTGTGCCCTGTTGGGGTCCACAGAGAACTGGAGAATTGCTTGGTGTAGGGAAAACACACATCTGGATTAGAGTGATATATTTAGAGTGGCGTGAGTATAGAAAGAAAAAATGGTTTTCCTGGCTTAGTGTTCACTAGCGGGCAGATGAATGGGCAGCAAGCAGACAGGACATCAGAAGGGGCTTCAAGGAGAGTTCCTGCAATTTCCCCACCTTGGTGAGGTAGGAGGTGGCTTCCCTGTGGCTTCTAAACTTCCGTGTGTATGGAAAGCCAGCAGCAGTTCCTCCTGACTCCCTTCCAACAGCTTGATAAGCATCTCTCCTCCTATATCAAATCCCCCCTTGCTTGTGTTGTGGCTTAGGACACGCCACCCTAAAACATGACTGTAGGAGACCAAAATATGCCGCCCTAAAATAGAGTTCTTTGGCATATTGCAAGTTGGTTATTCTGAGAGACTGCAGACACAGAAGTAGCTCTGAAAAGTTGTCCTTCTACAAAAGGAATGTACATCAACACAGGAGATCTAGATTAGTAAAATGTGTGTCAGGAAGAGGGCTGCTCCAGACAATTTCTATTACTCAGGAGACTTTGATCTGCATGTAAGGCCACCTCTACTCACCCTATAGCTCCTCCCCGGCCCTCCCACAACTTGTTCCTATCCTGCCCCAGAGGCCCCAAGCTCCTGTTTCCCTTCTGTAGCTCCGGGGGGCTGTATAAACTTCAGCCATCTGACCCTTCACATTTTATGGGACTCCCATTTGAGTATGTGTGTAATGAAAACAGCTTCTCTCCTATTTTTGTTGGTAGCCCAGTCAAAGAACCTGGAAGGATACGGAGAAGGCATTTCCCCTCCCCTCCACTTGACATACCTAGAATAGATTCTGCTTTCTCGAAAGAACCCTGACTAAACTTAATGAATAATAATTAGCTATTACTCAGGTATGAGAACAGGAAAAGCAAGAAGCCTATCTATGGACTTTCTTACCTCATTAGATTTTTTTTTTTCATTTTCCAGTTGGTTGAGCAGGGCCTCCTGTTGCTGAGCCACGGTCATTTTCAATTGACTGTCTTCATCCTGTAAGGTTCTCACTTTCCTTTGTAGCTCATTTACAGTATGATCTAGGAGCTTCCTGAAGGCAATGAATGCATGTTAAGTCACACTTTGAAAATGAAACTCAGACCCAAAATCTCTATGCCATCGCAGGGGATTTTTGTCCAAGGAAATAGGGTATGTGTCCATAAAATAAAAGGACTAACCCAGGGAACCTCCCCCTTTTGGATACAAGTTTTTCTAAGAATTTCTTTGTTCTTTGTCTCACTGTCAAGATAACCCTACGGGGAAGAAATGATCTTTCATTTTTTCAGAGATGAGGTGCTGTGGCAGAGAGAGAGAGAGAGCAGCCAGGAAAGAGCTGAGGTGGGGCTCTAGCCCTGAATCCCATATTCATTCAGTGCCTTATTAGGGGAGACCTTGATCCTTTGGGTTCACTGTAAGGCTGTTGGTTAGAAGCACCGTAGACACTAATGTACATGTTAGCACTGCTACAGTTAAATCACAAATGAGCCCGCACTTGATGAGGAAATTCACCCTTTTCTAAGAGTGTCATTAGCTCTTTGTTTCTTCAGAAAGAGTCTTAGCACACTACAGTTTCTAGAGAGAGTTCTGAGGATTTCAGACCAAGGTCTTCTGGACCTAGAAGGCTCATCATAAAGAATATGATAATGGTAATGATGAAATAGTACTCGTGGGCAAAAATTCTACCAAATGCTAGCGAGGTAAAATACTAACACTGAACAGAGAAGTTTGCTTTCTCTATCTTCAGTATTCTGAGAAGGCAGTGAATTTTGGGGGGATGATTTATATTTGAGACATGGGCTCATTGCTTTCCACCTCTAGTTCTCATGTTTCTTGCATATAAGTGCAGGTTCTCCAAGAATTTCTTACAGCTTACTTTCTACCATTCATACCCATTCTCAATATCCCCTTGTCAATTCATTCTCTCTCTCTCTCTCTCTCTCTCTCTCTCTCTCTCTCTCTCTCTCTCTCGGTACCAGAAATTGAACCCAGGGGTGCTTAACCACTGAGCCACATCCCCAGCCCTTTTTATTTAGAGATAGGGTTTTGGTAAATTGTTGAGACTAGCCTCAAACTTGTAATCCCTTGCCTCAGCTTCCTGAGCTGTTGAGATTACAGGTGTGTGCCACTATGCCTGGCTTTTTCTTTTTTTGCTACTAGTAGTATTTGAACCCAGGAGTACTCTATCACTGAGCTATATCCCCAGACCTTTTATTTTTTATTTTTAGATAGGATCTCACTAAGTTGCCAAGGCTGGTCTTGAACTTGCAATCCTCCTACCTCAGCCTCCTCAGTAGCTGCATTTACAGGCAGGTGCTAGCGTTCTCTCCCACCCATCATTTCTGTGTTGTCTAACCCTCTGCATGTCTACCTGAGCAATTCCCTGATACTCGTGCCTCTTTCTCCTTTAGGGTTCCACTCTCAATTCCTGAACAAGGGACCAGACTTAGAGAGAGATTAAGCCTTGGAACTGAAAGGGAAGTATTAATTTGCAGGAATTAAAAAAGAAAAACCCTTCAGCTATCTGCAGTAAAATTCGGGGTTGAAAACGGAAATTGAAAAATAGGAAGTAAAAATTCAAAAAGTAACCCATGAGCATGTTAGAATTAGTTTATATATTCCATATAGATTTTCGATAATGAAAGACATAGAAATCATGGATGGTGAGACATCCTGTTGCAGAGCTTGAGTCTCTTTGCCAATCCATCCTTCACACAGCAGCCAGTGTTCCTCCTGAATCACAATCTAATCATACCATCCACCATCTTTCCTCCCATCTTTCCTTTTTGAGAAAGGAAGGCAAGTGGTCTCCCATGAGCTACACCTCCAGCCCCCCCCCCTTCACACTACCTTAAAATCCTTCAGTGGCTCCCCTCATTGTTCTTTAAGGTAAAGTCCAAACTGTTCAATGTGGCTTGTGAGGCTCTGCATGAACTAGGCCCATCTACCTACAAGCCTTGTTTTCTTGCCACTTGCCCTAGCCTCAAACATCGCTTTCCAGCTCCTTCCTTCGCAGTCATTCTCCACACGGTTACTCTCCCACCTCCCTTCTTCCTCTTCTAGGTCCCCTTTGCCTAATAAGCTCCCAAGCTTCCTCATACCAAGTGCTTCATTCTCAGCCTAAAGAAAGCTTTTGGAAGCTCCTGAGCTCCACAGGTGCCCCTGAATGTGCTGTTATAGAAACCCAACCCTCCTTTAGTACCAACCACACTTCACTGTAGTTACAAAGTCTCACACACAAAGATATTCATTAGATCATTATTTATAATAGCAAAAAATGTCTAAAAGACACTAAACCAAGTACACTGGTGTACACCTATAGTCCCAACTACTTGTGAGGCTAAGGCAGAGGGTGACTTGCACCCAGGAGCTCAAGGACAACCTGGGCAACAAGCAAGAATGTGTCTTGAAAAAATAAATAAAAGACAATATATATCTATGTGTACTGGTCAGGGTTCTCAAAGAAATAGAAACAATAGAAATATATATATATATATATATATATATATACATATGAATGAAACCAAAAGCTGAAGCTTGACACGGTGGTACATGTCTATAATTCCAGCAGCTTGGGAGGCTGAGGCAGGAGGATCGCAAGTTCAAAGCTAGCCTCAGCAACTGTGAGGCACTAAGCAACTCAGTGAGACCCTGTCTCTAAATAAAATACAAAATAGGGTTAAGGATGTGGCTCAGTAGTCAATCCCCGGTACCAAAAAAAAAAAAAAAAAAAAATTATGAAAGAAAATATATATCAATTTTCTATAATCTCTTCTAGAAAATTCCTAATTATTTTTCAGTACTTAGGATTGAACACAGGGCCTCATGCATGCTATGCAAGCACTCTACCAGTGAGCTACATCCCCAGCCCTTTTAAAACTTTTATTTTGAGACAGGGTCTTGCTATGTTGCCTAGGCCGGCCTCCAGCTTGCAATTCTGCCTCAGCCTCCTGAGTAGCTGAGATTACAAATGTCTGCTACTGTGCTCAGCCCCTAATTAATTTTTTGAGGCAATCATTACTATAATAGCAAAATCAGATAAAGATATTACCAGAAAGGGAACAGTAGACCAGTATCTCTCATGAACAGATCCAAACTCCTTAAAGTGGTTTGTTAGACTCCACATGTCCTAAGCCTAGTTGACCTTCCTAGCCTCATTTTATCACTCTTCTCTATTCCCAAGAGTTTCATTCTGGCCAAATAGTTTTTCCTTACTCTACTGAAGAAGATGATAACAATACTGACAACAGTAATTACAATAACATAAAATATTATAACAATAACACTTTTTAATATAGTGACTCTAATGTGTTGGAGAGGGCCATAAGAGATATAGTTGTTTTTTTTTTTGTTTTGTTTGTTTTGGTACTGGGGATTGAACCCAGGGGCACTTTACCACTGAGCCACATTCCCAACCCTTTTTATTTGTTTAGTTTAAGACAGGGTCTCACTAAGTTGTTTGGGACTCTCTAAGTGGCTAAGGCTGACTTTGAACTTGTGATCCTTCTGCCTTAGTCTCCCAAACTGCAGGCAATGTGCCAAGAGATATATTTGTGCAGAATGTAAAAGTGAAGTATTTTGTGCTTTACATTTGGATGGGGCAGGTGCTTCTGTAGTTCATACATGTTGCCACATATCTGTTGTTCATTTGGCATGAGGAGACAGCCAGGCCTATCTTCCCTTGGATCTTCCTTTAACTTCTCCTGCTCCTGGATCAGGTGGTGCATGCCTGTCATTCAAGCAACTCAGAAGGCTGAGGCAGTAGGATTGCAAATTCAAGGACAGCCTCAGCAACTGTGAGACCCTCAGAAACTTAGTGAGACCCTGTCTGAAAAAATTTTAAAAATGACTGGGGATGTAGCTCAAGTGGTAAAGTACCCCTGGGTTCAATCTCAAGTTAAAAAAGAAAAAGAAAAAGAAAAGAAAGAAAACAAATCCCTGTAACAAATCTTACTAGGGCTGGGGCTGGGGCTGAGTGGTAGAATGCTTGCTTTGCTTAACATACATGAGGCTGTGGGTTTAATCCCCAGCACTGCAAAAAAACAAAACAAAATAAAACCAACAAATCTCTTATTAAACATATACTTCTTCCACTGGTTCTATTTCTCTGATTGAATCCTGACCAATAACAGTGCTTATTATGTGCCAGGATATATATCACTATAATAGCAAAAAATTGGGAAAAAATATAAATGCCCAACAATGAAGGATTTATTAAGCAACTTATGGCACATCATTAGAATAATGATATAGAAGATTTACAGTCAAATAAACAGAACATAATATTTTAAGAAAAAAAGTATGTAACAATCTAAATGTATACATGGGAGTAACTTTGTTCCAGTTTACAAAATAATATGTGCTATGTAATTCCTTATGATGGAAAAATTCCCCTATATATTTCTTTTTCCTATACTTGGTTTGAATATTTTTTCTACATATTTCTTCTCAGCAAATCTTCATTGAAGCTGTACAGAACTGGTATCCCTTTTCCCATTTTAGAGATAAGAACACCAAGCTTCAGAAAAGTTAAATAGCCTTTTTCATTGTTCTAATCTTTGGTTATATTTTTTGTTTCTTGAAATCCTTTGCACAGTTGTTTTATAATCAGATTTCCATAATCCCAGTTGCTGAGGTTCTTGGGGGTTATAAATCTGGTGCTTGTTGTTTCTGCTGATTTTTGTTGCTGATAGCCAGTTTCCTTGCGGTGTTTGGTAACATCAATTGTAAGTTTATATTTTATTAAGCTTGATATAGAGGAGTCCTTACTATCTAAATCAGGGTTTCTTTCCTCCAGAGATTGTTTGTATTTTCTTAGTTCAGCTCTCTTAGCTTGTGGCAAGCTTCCTTGGCTTCTCCTGAACCCAGGATAAGCAACTCAGAAGGCCGAGGCAGTAGAACCCAGGGCTGATATTATTATCTGTCCCTTGACTTAGAAGTTTGCATATTGTTCATCAAATTTTTTTTTAGTTTATTTTGCTCTTGGGGCTTGTTTTAATTATCTTTTTGCATTTATGTGACCAAAATACCCAACAAGAACAATTTAAAGGAGGAAAAGTTTATTTGAAGCTCACTGTCTCAGATGCCTTAGTCCACAGATAGCTGACTCTATTGCTCTGAGCCCAAAGTGAGGCAGCATATTATGGGGGAGGGCCCCAGAGGAGAAAAGCTGCTTGGCTCATGCTGGGGTCAGGAAACAGGAGTTGAGGGGAGAGGCCATAGGGAAGATGAACCCTTCTAGGGCATACCCCTGTGACCCACCTCCTCCAGCCACACCTACCTATGGTTACCACTCAAATCTATTCAACTAGGATGAACTGATTAGGTTACAGTTCTCAATACAATTATTCCACCTTTCAATGTTCCTGTATTAATACAGGAATTCTTTTGGTGGGGGCATATCATATCCAAACTGTAGCATTCTACCCTGGGCCCCCAAAAGCTCATGTCCATGTCTAAGAGTTTGATCTCCAAGATTCTTAAATTTTGTATTGCCCACATCCAAAGTCTCCTCTGAGGCTGAAGGCAACCTCTTGGCTGTGAGCCCCTGTAAATGCAAGTTACATATATCCAATATAGAGTGGCAAAGAGTAAACATTCCTATTCTTTTTTTAATATTTATTTTTTAGTTATAGGTGGACACAATATCTTTAATTTTATGTGGTGCTGAGGATCGAACCCAGTGTCCCACGCATGCTAGGCGAGCGCTCTACCTCTGAGCCACAACCCCAGCCCCAACATTCCCATTCTAAAAGGAAAGAATAGAAGCATAAAAAAACCTACAGCATCTAGGACTCGTGGCTGCAAGGTGTTATTTCCAAAGGGCTTGAGCAGCCCTGCTCCTTTGGCCTTTGGGCTAGTGCACATGGGCTGTCTCTCTGAAGCTAGCAGCTTTTCTTGGCAGACAGTCCATGTTACTGGCATCTGTTAATTCCTGGGTCTCCACTGCAACTTCAGTTCCATCGTTACAGCTTCCTGCTTATCATCCTCTTAGTGGCAACCCATAGGAACTCTAACCCTGTTGTACTTTGCCTGGCCTCCCAGGGCTTCCTTTGAAATCTCAGTGGAAGGATCCATGACTCCAGATCCTGCATTTCTGCAGAAGCAGCATGTTGATGACGCCAAGGTCTGCAGCCAGCTTATGCAATACCCCTGTTCCCCGCCACCCACCCCCAGGCAGAGCTGCAGCAGTGAGTACCTGCAGGTTCAGCATGGTGAAATAACTTCTGAGGCCCCCCTTGTGAGCAGGGTGCCCACATGATATCTTCTCAAAAGAACTTTGTCTTCTGTACCCTGGAGCCTGTAGTGGGTGTGGTCTTGCAAATTCCTGAGATGCCCTTGAGGCATCTTTCCCATGTTTCTGTGCTAACTATCTAGCATCTCTTTAGGGGCTATAATCTCTTCAACCAAGCACAACTTCCTCCTCTCCAGGTTTACTCGCACTTTTCTGGTCAAGCTGTAATTTTTTTTAAAAAAGTTTATACTTATTTATAATCCACTAGGATAAATACCCATTTTATGCAGCTGTACCCTTTAATTCATTTTTTTTCTGAAATAAGTACAAAAGACCAATTTAAAATTGAGACAAGCATTTAAAGGAAAATTTTTTGACTCAAATTCTGAAAAAAAAAACTATAAATGGTTCACTTTTACCAAAACAATTGGTTTTTATACAAAATATAAAGAATTTTACACTATAAACAAAGACTTCTGGGCTGGGGCTGTAGCTCAGTGGCAGAACGCTTGCCTAGCATGTGAGAGGCACTGGGTTCAATCCTTAGCACCATATAAAAATAAACAAATAAAATAAAGGCCTACTCTCCAAACACAACTACCAAAACAAAAATTAAAAAAAAAAAACCCAAAGACTTCTGTATATGTATTTAAAATAAGAATTCTATCTGCTTTTTCCTCCAATTCTTCTCAAGCACAAAGCATACACACTCAAGCCAGAAAGCTAATAACCTCAATGGGCAGACTGTTTCAGAATAAGCCTTCACCCCAAATACATGTGGAAAGATAGTACTGATTTTTTTTCTTTTGGCTCAAAGTTCAGAACATCAATAAGTTTCAATTTAGTTTCCAAAACTCTCCTGTATTAACATGAAAAGCACACCAATGTCAAGCTGCAATATAAAAAAAAATCCTTTAGTTCTGAGCTGGGCACAGTGGCACATGTTTATAATTCCAGTGACTGGGGAGGCTAAGGCAGGAGGATCACAAGTTTGAGAAGAGTCTCAGCAATTTAGTGAGGCTCTAAGCAATTTAGAGAGACCCTGTCTCAAAAAAAAAAAAAAAAAAAAAACTGGTCAGAGATGGAGCTCAGTGGCAAAGCACCCCTGGGTTCAATCCCCAGTATAAAAAATAAATCCTTTAGTTCTGCTTTCTGCTCCTGACTTTCACAGTAAACCTGGCTAAAAATTGCCAGCAATATCCATGTAATTGGTTGAATGCTGTACTGCTGGAAATTTCCTCTGCCATATTAATTAGTTCATCACTTTTAAATTCAGTCTCATACAAAGACTCAGGACATGTAGAAAAGTTCTTTGCCAGACTGTAACACAAATGGCTTCTAGTCCAATTCCTAAAGGTTTTCATTTCCCTCTGAAACCAAACAGTTGACATTTCTATGAGCATTCTGTTCTGAGTGCCACCAGAATCACCCATTAAGCTCTGCTTACAATATTCTAAAGCTTTTCTGGTTTGCATCTAAACTTTCAAAATTCCTCCCATAAACCAGCTACAAAGGCTTCTGAACTTCATAGTCAGGTTGTCACAGCAATGACTCCTCTTCTTGGTACCAATTTGTTTTTGTCAGCTTTTGTATCATTGTAACCAAAACACCCATCAAGAATAACTTAGAGGAGGAAAAATTAATTTGGAGCTCACAGTTCAGAGGTCTCAATTCATAGATGGCCAACAACAGTGCTCTGGGTCCACGGTGAGGCAGCGCATCATGGGAAGAGCCCAGCACAGGAAAGTTGTTCAACTTAGGGTGGGTCAGGAAGTAGAGGGGCAGAGGAAGGAACCACAGGGAAGATGAACCCTTTCAGGGAACACCTCCAGTGACCCAGCCATACTCCACCTGCTTACTGTGACCACCCAGTCAATCCATTCAAACTAAGATAGACTAATTAGGTTCCACTCTCACAATCCAATCATTTTATCTCTGAACATTCCTGCATTAATACAGGAGCTTTTGAGGGACACCTCATATTCATACCATAACAAGACTTTTTCTTGCTTTCTTGTGAGCAGTACTTTAAAAGGTATGCTCATTGTTAAATAATCAGAATCTAGTGGCATTATAACATCAGGATAGCCTGTCACCTTGCTAGATATGGCAGGGGAGACAAATATTCTTTCATAGCACCTCACTGAGTAGATTTATTATTTATTCATATATATATATATATATATATATATATATATATATATATATATATATTCATTCATTCACTTACTCCAATGTTTATTCACTAGGGAGGCCCAAGGCTAGAATTTTGGCTACCCATTAGGTAAGGTTCTGAGCTACAAAGAATGTGTGAATATCTGCATATCTTTTTAGTGGCTAAAACCATATTTTTCTCAAAATATATGTGAATCATTTTGAATTTCATAAAAATAAAAAACATGTATGAGGCTTTGGGTTTAATCCTTTATTTTAAAAAATAAATAAATCAGATTTTTCAGTTCTGCAAGGGTACGAAGAAACCTATTATTGATGCTAGGTGATGTGCTAATAGACACTTGGTTCATAAGAGACTTCTATGAATTTACTAAGCTATTGAAGTTACTGAAATTTAGAGCAGAAAATGTGTTAATTAATTAAAAATATTTGAAGTACTGGGGATTAAATCCAGGGGCATTCTCTACTGCTAAGCCATATCCCCTCCCTATTTACTTTTTATTTTGAGACAGGGTCTTGCTGAGTTGTCCAGGCTAGCAGTCCTGAGTTGTCCAGGCTAGAACTTGCAATCCTCCTGCCTCAGCCTTCCGAGTCGAGTCTCTGGGATTATAGGCATGTACCCCTGTGCCTAACTTCCTAGAGGATGCTTTGAGTAAGAATCATAATCATCATAATAATTTTAGAAAAAAGAGATGGTAGTTCCTTTCTGGCAGCATTTGTTAATGATTAAGATGCCTATAAGTTATTGAAATCACCCTGAAGAACATTAGCTGATAAAGATAAAACAATAATTTCACTGTAGTCTGAATATGTGTCAGTCATAATTCATTGGCAATCCAGTCATTCAAGAAAATTCACAGGTGTACCAGGTGTGCACCAAAACAAGAAGTCTGCTCTGCCTTTAGGAATTCCACACTTGTGCCAGAGATAACAAGAAAATAAACAACTAGGATGCAGTGTGGTGAGTGTAACTGAGTCTGCTTCAGTGGGACTGAGGAAATACCACCTTAGTGAAATAATGTTGCTGGTGAGCTGAGTCCTGGCTACACCCCTGGGAAACTCAGATCCTGCTCCTCTTACCTCTTCTGTTGTTCTTCCTGATACTGTTGCCTTAACTCAGCTTCATTTTCTATTGCATCTTTGATCTTTTCCTCTAGTTTTTTCTTTGTCAAAATACAGGTATCTGTGAGACAGACTTTATGAGCTTGTTCCAATTTCTGCTGCAGGTCCAAAATCTTGAATGAAAAAAGTTGACAAATAAAACATTAGGAAGGGTATAATCTTTTTTTTTTCCTTTTGAATCAGGGAAACAGCATGCGATACCCAACATAGCTAACATACAGATATGATCTAAGGTAAAGAGTATAACTTTATAACTTTAAAATAAGTGACTTGATATTTGCCATTTGAAATCATTATTAGTATTCAATGTGTATGTATAAAAGAAGCTATCTCATGGAAAGAATCCTTCCCACCCTTATCCCATTTCCTCCCAGCCTTCCTCTACCAAATAGGTAATCACTGTTATTAGTTTATTTTGTATCCTTTCAGATATTCATTTGTAAATAAATATTACATAGTCATCCTTCATACACATAAAAGTTTCATATAAATAATGACATGCTAAATATAATTACGCATCTTGCCTTTTACAAATAAAAATATACTTGGTGATTTTTTCCATATTATTTGTACATAAAGTCACCTTCTCTTTTACAGTTGCATACCATTCTACAATAAGGACATACTAAACTTATTTAATAAGCCCCCAATCTTTTGCTACAACAACAACAACAAAACACTATTACAACTGATGTATATAGAATAAATTTTGAAGTGTGAGTTGGTAGGGTAGAATTTATTAGATATTAGTTATTGTTTGATGGATAATGCCAAACTGCCTCCATAGGAATTAGACCAATTTATATTTTGAGCAACAATGTTGAAAGTATCTAAAGTATCTAGTTTTTCCAGAGTGTGGTTAGATTAATGAATAATACCTCAAAACAAAATAGAAGTCTCTTATGAATGAAGTACCTATTAGTATATCACCTAGCACTAATATCAGGTTCCTCAATATCCTTGTAGAACTGAAAATCTGATTTATTTATTTTTTAAAGTTGTAGATGAACATGATATATTTATTTATGTATTTTTTATGCAGTGCTAGGGATTGAACCCAGGGTTTCACACATGCTAGACAAGCAAGCGCTCTGCCACTGAGCTATATCCCTAGCCCCGAAAAAAATCTGATTTATTAATTTGAAAGGGTCATATATAATTGCATTTTAGAATATGCATGTTAGATCAAAAGTGTCATTCAAAACATGTTTTTGCTATTCAGGTTTCCTTTGAAATTTGTTTCCACTTTCTTTCTTTCTTCCTCTCCTCCTCCTCCTCTTCCCCCTCCTCCTCTTTCTCCTCTTTTTGTGGCAGCACTGGGATTGAAACCAGGGGTATGCTAAATTACATCCCCAAATTTTTTTGCAGGGTGGGGGAGGGGGTACTGGGGATTTACCCTGAGCTACATTCCCCAGCGTTTTACTTATTTATTTTTGGTACTGGGGATTGAACTCAGTAGCACTCAACCAATGAGCCATCCCCAGCTCTATTTTGTGTTTTATTTAGAGACAGGGTCTCACTGAGTTGCTTAGGGGCTTGCTAAATTGCTGAGGCTGGCTTTGAACTTTCATTTCTCCTGCCTCAGTCTCCTGAGCTGCTGGAATTACAGGCTTGTACCACCATGCCCAGATTCCCCAGCCCTTCATATATTTTATTTTGAGACAGGGTCTTGCTCAGTTGCTGAAACTGGTGCGATCCTCCTGCCTTCACCTCCCAAATTGCTAGGATTACAGGCATGTGCCCCTGCGTCCGGCTTCCTCATTATTATTATCATTTTATAAACCCTTGTTTCACCTGAAATTGTAACTGTTACATAGTAGGTGCTCAATAAATATTTGTTAAATGAATAGATTTCAGAAGGATAGCTATTTTCTTTAGATGTATTACTGACCCAAGAAGGAATCCTCTATAATGGTTTAGCACCATAATCCCCACAAATATTCAGTGAATGCCAGTGGATGGTAGCAGCCCTTTTCTAAAAGAAGGGCTTTCCTCATCAATCTCAGTCCTGGATTGCTGCCCTCGTCCAGCGAGGCAACTGAACCAAAGTCATTCGAGTGAATGTGGAGTGATGCAAAATACCACCCAGACACAGAACACCTTGTTATATGAGCTTCAGGACGGCTTCCCCAGCTCCTGGCCTCAGGCTCCTACAAGGGGGCAAGAGGCTGACGAGAGAGAGAGGGATCTCACATTCTGGAGTTGGCTTTTATTGGGGGACACTGTTTCTTAGACCATTCTATCCAAGGGCTGGGGATATAGCTCAGTTGGTAGAGTGCTTGCCTCGCATGCACAAGGCCCTGGCTTCTATTCCCAGCACCACACACAAAACCATTCTATCCAAAAACGGGCAAAGGGGTAGGATTACAAAGGAATAGCAACCCCACCAGGTAATGCTCCTACTCCTGGAGCTATGCCTCATTAATCAAGTAAAACCCAAGTTATTGTCAAATTGTTTTTCAGATGGTATACTAATTTATTCTTTCATCTAACATTAGTATATAAGAGTTCTTGTGGGCTGGGGTAAATGTCATGGCTTTAAAAAAAAAAAAAAGTCCCTATTCCATCAAATACTCATCAATATTTAGTACCACATTTAAACATTTTACCCAGTTTTTATCAATTTTACCAATTAATTTTTAAAAGAAGTTTATTTATTTATTTTTTTAGTTATAGATGGACCTTTATTTTATTTATTTATATGTGGGGATGAGAATCGAACCCAGTGCCTCACACATGCTAGGCAAGCACTCTGCCGCTGAGCCACAATCCCAGCCCTGAAAAGTTATTTTTTAACGGAGTAAAAACATACATATGGAAAAGTAACATACATGTACATGTTAAGTAATATACATGTCTTAAGCATATTCAACATAGTATCACTTGTGTAACTAGTTCAGTGCCACAGAAGATTCTCTTGTGTCCCTCCTACTTAACATAAAGATGAGGAGGAGGACTATCCCACCTCTGTAGCTTATTTATTTATTTGGTACAAGTGATTGAACCTAGGGGCACTTTACCACTGAGCTACATCCCTGGTCCTTTTTATTTTTTGAGACATGATCTTGCTAAATTGCTTAGGGCCTCACTAAATTGCTGAGGCTAGCCTATAACTTGTGATTCTCCTACCTCAGCCTCCCATCACTGGGATTACAGGTGTGTACCATGACACCTGGCTGTAGTTTAGTTCTGTTCTTGAATTTCGTATAATTAGAATTGTGTGTGTGTGTGTGTGTGTGTGTGTGTGTGTATGTGTACTAGGGGTTGAACCCAGGGGTACTTTACCACTGAGCCACATCCCCAGCCATTTTTCTTTTTTATTTTGAGATAGGGTCTTGCTAAGTTGATAAGGGCTTTGCTAGGTTGCTGAGGCTGGCTTTGAACTTGCAATCCTCTTGTCTTAGCCTCTTAGTTGCTGGGATAACAAGTAGGTACCACCACACCCAATCTTAGTATGAACCCTTTTGTATTGTATTTCTTTTTTTAATTTAACATTTGATTTATTTAGTTTAATTAATTCTGCTTCCATCTTCTTTTTGATGTTTGCTTTATATGTATATGGTTGATGAAAAGATCTTTTATCTAAGGCTTAACTCAGACAAAGCGGCACATGTCAATGTGCAACTGCTATATGCTACTGCCACCTGGTGTTAGGTAACCTAAAATGCAGGGGCAATGTTCCCAAATGGTTCAATTCCTAACAAGAATCCTTGTAAAAATTCCAAAATAGAAACCACATAAACAGTCAACCCAAATGAGAGGAAAATAAATAAGCCCTTTAAAATCTGACAACATAAAACAAAGTGCTATGGGCTCAGTCAGTTCTTTAAATTCACGTTATTACTTTAATGAAAATTTTAAGTTCATGGAGTTTTTAAAAACATGAGATTTGCTGGAATTGTAATAGCAGTTGAAATCAAAAGAAGTAAAAATGGAGGGAGAGCAAAAGGAAAAAAAATTAGGATTCTATCCAGTTTGAAACTATCTATTTTTTGAAATCCTTGAGGAAACAGCATTCCCGTGGTGGGATTCAGAGCAAGGCTGTTGGTTAAGGATAATTACCTTTTCCTCTGCACTGGCAACTTTAGATTTCTCCTGAGCTAGCTTTTCCTGCAGAAGGTTCTGCGATTTGAGGCTCTGAGCCTGCTTCAGTCCTTCCAACTCTAGTTCTCTGATCTTCTGCTGACAGTGCTTCCATTCTGCAGTGAGCGAGGCGTACATCTTTGTGCTGTCTAGTAACTTCTGGTGGGCCTGCTTTTGTTCGATTTTGATCTAAAGGTGGGAAATAAATAAGAACGATAAGGTAAAAAATAAGCATGGAGTGAATGTGAGCCCAAATAAGCAACTTTCAAAGGAGTTCAGTTCCCCCATAGCCCATGAATACTGATGCCGAAGAGCTGGTGACCTGTCTGGAGCTGCCAGGCAGGAGTAAGGCTTGCCAAAGCTCATCTAGCCCAAGGTAGCTGGACAAAGGAATTTCCTCAAGAGTTTCTATGTTTCCAGATCCTAAACATTTTCCATCCTTTCTTTAATCTACTCCAACACAGCTTTCATCTCTTACTACTCAATAGAAGCATTTTTGCCATGGGCATTGAGTACCCCGTTGTCAAAATAAGCCCAATGTACTAGTGACCTCTCGGTAGCATATACTCCCTCCATTTCAGAAAGTCCCCCTGTGGGCCTGGTGGTGCATGACTGTAATCCCAGTGACTTGGGAGACTAAGGCAGAAGGATCATAAGTTCAAGGCCAGCCAGAAAGTTCTCCTCTCTTAGAATCTGATACCAGACTCTCCTGGTTTTCACTTACCTCTCTGCTATTGCTTCCTGGTCTCCTTTGGAGTATCTTCTAATGCTACCCCATCTCTCCTCCTGGAGTACCCCTAATAAATGTCTATACCTGGCAGGGAAGGCTCACAGACAAAATTCCTGAGAGAATGTTCTTTGTCCTTGTGGGAAAGAAGATTCTCCGGTCTCAAAGTTTTTCAATTAAATCAATAGGGATTATATTTATAGTATCTTCCTCATGTGACTTCTGTGTATTGATCAATTAGATTCTTTCAAAATCCAAAAGCTAGTAGTGTTAAACTTCTTTGAGCACCAGTTTTTTTTTTTTTCATCTGCAATATGGGGATAATAGCTGCTTACTTTACAAGATAGCCATGCAGCTGTGTTAAGTAAGACAAAGCAATTAAAATAACAACAGAGCCAGACACTGACTTCCTTAACAAGATTCCCAAAGTTCAAAAAATAAAACCAAGAATCAATAAATAGGATGCAACCAAATTTAAAGGCTTCTGCAGAGCAAAGAAAATGGTTCAGAGCATGAAGACAGAACCTCTGGAATGGGAGAAAATCTTTGCCAGCTGCTCCTCTGACAGGGGATTAATATCCAGAATATTAAAAAAACTTGAAAACTTAACACCAAAATACCAAATAACCCAATCAATAAATAGGAAAAAACTAAAAAGACATTTCTCAAAAGAAGAAACACAAATGGCCAACAAATATATGAAAAATTGTTCCACATGTCTAGCGATCTGGGAGATGCAAATCAAAACTACAATAACATTTCATCTCATTCCAGTCAGAATGGTAGTCATCAAGAACACAAATAATAATAAATGCTGGCGAGGCACACTCATACATTGTTGGTGGGACTGAAAATTAGTACAACCACTCTGGAGAGCAGTGTGGAGTTTCCTCAAAAAACTAGGAATGGAATTACCAAAGACCCAGTTATCCCACTTCTTGGTATACACCCAAAGGATTTAAAATCAGCATATTATAGTGATGCAGCCACATCAATGTTTATAGCAGCTCAATTCACAATAGCTAAGCTATGGAAACAGCCCAATAGAAGAATGGATCAAGAAAATGTGGTATACATACATAATGGAGTTTTACTTTAAAGAAAAATGAAATTATGGCATTTGTTGGTACATGGATGGAACTGGAAAATGTTATGTAACTGAAATAAGACAGACTCAGAAAATCAAGTGTTAAATGTTTTCTTTCATATGGGAAAGCTAGAGCAAAATAAGGGGTAAAATATAGAGAAAGACTCAGATCTATATGTATAGAGTTAAATGGTGTGCTATTTGCTAAAGGAAAAAAAGGGAGGAGGAAAGATTGGATATCATAAAGATATAGGGAAGATGAGCAGAGTAGAAGAAAGAGATCATGAAGGAGGGAGGGGCGACCAGGAAGGGGAGGAAATGCAGAATGAATTTAATGAACTCACACTATGTGCACATATAAATATACCACCGTGAACTCAACCTTTATGCATATCTGTAAAGCACCAATCAGAAATAAATAAATAAACAAGTGAAAGGACGACCAGTCGAGCAGAGGAAGAACCAGGAAGGGAGGATGAGAGGGAAAGAGGGGAGACCAGGGACTGAAATGGAGTAAATCAAATTCCATGCCTGGATGATTTTATCAAAATGTACCCAACTAACGTGTATGACTGTAATACACTGAAGAAAGAAAGAAAAGAAGAAGGAAGGAAGGAAGGGAGGGAGGGAGGGAGGGAGGGAGGGGCCAGACACGTAGGAAACACCTAGTAAGAGTTAACTGTTGTTATTCAAGGTACTGACAGCCTCTTCCTGGCGCAGTGGCAAATGCTTGCAATACACACTCTATAATTCCTCTGCCACGCTCTTCCTAGAGAAATGCGTACTTATGGATATTAGGACCCGTACATGAGAGCTCATAGTAGCATTCTTTAAAAAGTAGAAAGGTTAATCAGCTCTGTTCATTTATCACACTATTCAGGGAACGTCTTACATTAATTAGCTGAATGTATCTGAAAGGATCTTATACTCTGTCCAAGGGCAAAGTTTCTTGCATAAAAGCTACTCAGGGGTCCAGAGTGCACAACTTATGAGACCTCACCGGCCACCCCCGCTCCGTGCCCCATTTGCTTTAATTTCTGAAGACCAGAGCGATGTCATCTTTAAAAATGTTAATGACCATGTAAAAATGATCAAACATTTTATTAAACAGAATAGAAATGAATGTATGTAGCAATGGAGAAATTATACCCTAAGATCAAAATGCTGCCATATCATTGGTGAGTTTTATATAGGTCAACAGGAAAAATATCATAAGCTTGTCTCTTTGATATCACTCAAAAGAAAATTTTAGATCAAGTTTTAATAAGTTACTTATTTTCCCAGTGAAAACTCCCTTTTCCTCTGCCAATCTAAACCACTTCACTCTCTCAATTTTTTTTTTCCTTCATGCTCTCATTTCATTTTGGAGGACTGATATAGCTTTTGAAACATCACTGACAGGAACAAATCTATCAACTGTTGGCTTCTTCTCAAAAGGCCACTCGAACCCATTAGGAAGGCTGGAAGTTTCATTTCTAAGAACAACCTTGTCATGAAAAATCTCAGAGATAAATCCAATGAATGGGTAAGAAGAAGGAAATCAAAGAAAAGAAGAATTGGAATATTTGGTGTATTGGATTGATTCAAAAGCATGAAGCCTAAGCTTCTCATTGTCAATAAAGAGAATGTGAGACATTTCACAATAAATATATTATTCATTGACTTCACAGGCCAAGAAAGCTAAAGGCCCTGGGTCCTGATGAATGGATTTTCAGTGATAGAGCCAACACTTAGCATTTTGATAATGCTGGTAATAATGAAAGAAGACAACATTGGCTTCCTTAGTAAAAATAGGATCCAGTACAATGTCTCAGTGTTGGTAGTGGCAGAGTGACACTCTGCCTGAAGTTCTGCAAGCCTAAAACATTCCTTTTAATATATCCACAGTAGAAGCATGCACAGTGTCCATAAGTCATACGAAAAAAACATGTAAATTGTGGTGTTTTCTCATAGTGGAATACTATACTGCAAAGAAAAAATGAATGGACAATAGCTAAATACCATAACACGGATGAATCTCGCAAACAAAACTGATACAAGATTAATAGATATAAGGTGAACATACTGATTATATTTGTAAAACATTTAAAAATAGGCAGGGGCTGGGGAGGTAGCTTAGTGGTAGAGCACTTGTCTTCATGCATGAGACCCTGAGTTTGGTCTCCAGCACTGAAAAAACAAGGGAGGGGGGGAAACTTATCTATACCGTGTGGGAGTCATACACAGGTAGCAAGACCATAAAGTAATGTAAATGAGTTATTACCAAAAATTAGTGCTGAAGTGGGAAGGGAGGGGATCATGATGGGAAAGGTACACAGGCCATGGTGTACACGAGCATTGTTCTATTTCTTGTCCTGGGTGGTGGTTACATGGATATTCATCTTGTAACCATGTAATATACAGTTTTACATTTACATTTTATACACTTTCTGAGTGTTAGATCCCACAATAAAATGGTTTAAAGGAAATACACTGGTATTCTGATTTCTTAGCCTTGTAAGTATCCCCAACATCACCTAGAGAACCAGAGTTTGATGATCTCTGGGTGGATTTTAAGAAGTGACCCTTTGGGGCTGGGGATGTGGCTCAAGCGGTAGCAGGCTCGCCTGGCATGTGTGTGGCTCGGGTTCGATCCTCAGCACCACATACAAACAAAGATGTTGTGTCCGCTGAAAACTAAAAAATAAATATTAAAATTCTCTCTCTCTCTCTCTAAAAAAAAAAAGAAAGAAAGAAAGAAAAAAAAAAGTGAGCCTTGGGACTGGGGCTGCAGCTCCAGTGGTTGATGGGAGAGCACTTGTCCAGCACACGCAAGGCCCTGCCTTTAATCCCCAGGCTGCAACACCAGCAACAACAACAACAACAGAAGGGAGGAGGAGGAGGGGCCTAAGTGTGCAAAGCTGAGGTTCCAGAGTGACTCCCAACTGGGGAGAGTTACAATGTGGAAAGACGAGTCTATACCGTAAAGAGGGAAACAGACCTGGGTGCAGATTTGGGCTCCACAATTTATTAGCTTTGCCACCTTGAACAGTTTCCTCATCTGCAAAACAGTTTCCTTGCCTGTAGGTATGTGGGGAGGTTTATAAGAGATTAGGTGGACAGGCTGTCAATACAAGGTAGTTATTGTATATAATACTACTGAGATGCCTGGCACCATGAGGGAGATTTGAAACAAAGCAAAAAATATCTTCTTGCTTTACCAAGGTCTCACCGAGAGCTCTTCACTCCTGTTCATTGATTCTACAAATATTTACAGGGCATTAATCATAAGTAAGACATCATGACCTATGTAATTCTGGCCATTGTACCTTAAGGAAGAAATACTACTCTTTGAATATGTTCAGAATTGAACTTTTAAAATGATCTAAGAAACAT